AATATATGAGAAAAACTATGAATTCTGATCGAATTCAAAAACAGATAACTCACTGAGATAAGCTATTTTTCCGTCGTGAGAGAGATTACCTCCTTACTGCATAGCATCCTGAAGACGTGACATTAAAAAAAGAAGATATTTCTACAAAAAAGCAAACTAGATTTAATCTAGGTAATTCAGACCGGAGTCACAAGTAATCAAAACAACTATTTTGCTAAGGTGGAAAGTCGAAGGAATGCTAGTTTAGGTGACCCAAACTATCGTCCTCTTTAAAATCCGCGACTTGAAAACAAACACAATATTTAGTTAATACTTTCTTCAAAATAATAATACAGTATTTTATTGTACAAAAAAGTTTAATGATTTCGTTGGAGAAAGTAATGTTAGCTACCATGCTTTTTATGCAAACCTGATTTTGCAAGTTTTTCACCTAACTTTTAAAATGCACCGATGCATATAAAATTTAACAAGGAAACGTTTAAATATTTTAAACACAAGCTTATTTTTTATATTTTATGCTTAATTTTACACAAAGCAATGCTTAACAAAATAAAAATAAATAGTATTTATGTTGGTGACACTGATCATTACAACAGATAAAAAGTTTATTTTTACTCTACTGCAAAAAAATATGGCAGACAGTGACTTATTGGACTGCAATTTGAAAAAATTGTAGATCTATAAATTCCCACAGTCGTCCGTCTGTCCATTTGGCTTTCCTTAATCCCGAGAACGGAGTTAGACAGATGAAAGACGAGACCAGAACATGAAACCTTAGGAGCAAGAGGCCCCGATTAACAATATGAGAACTTCCGATACAAACCGGAAGTCACGTTATTTCAATTCAACTCTTTTCCCTTGAAAGTTATTAGATAAGTGACCGGCACGACTATTGTTAAAGGAAAAGTATGATGTACAGGGATACTAATTTGAGGTGGAGAGCATATATTTGAAATTAAATCAGTTAAAAGTATGATTAAAAATTGCAGCCCAGCATTATGACGATGTCACAATAAAATAATTGCTCGTATTTGCGTAAATTTTAACAGCAGAAGCTTACTTAAAATCTCGAGTGGAAGAAAATTTCCAACTCGAGAATTTGAAAGAAAATTTGACAAGAGAGATTTCTTTTATGAAATTTTCTTCCAACTTAAGAATTACTATTTGTACACATGAGAAGGTGCCTGGTGACTGAACAGAAAAGTCATATTATCACTCGAAATTTATCATTTAAAGCTATATAATTACGTAAAATTTCGTAACCCTTTGACTACAGCAACTCTATCATTACCTCGACTAATAACATGTGTTTAAATTTTGCTCTTTTTTGTTTTTATCAAATACATTTAACTTCCTATTTAGCGTATAATATACCACGGTAAATCCGCAAATTGCTTGAAAATAATTATGTGCGCAATAATACACACACTACTACGTTTTACTACGTCATAAAGAAACTAAACAAAGAAAAATGCACACTATAATATAAAAAATATAACTCATTACCAATCACGAAGACTTTACTCGTTTAAAAACTACATAATACCGTTTTTAATAAAAATTACGATTACAGAAATTAATCGTACGTTACATAATTATGAAAATTATAAAAAGTACAGGTATATTAAATCAACACTTTACTAAATTTAACAACTAGACACGCACTATTCAGAACAATACAACGGCTCATTTGGTCATGCATTCCTGCCATCACCGATCACGGTAAATCCGCCACCCGATAAATCGGGAGTTGACTGTAATTACGTTTTTAATGATATTTTCTCCTAATAAGTAATCAATTAGAAATACAACTTCATATAATCCTTTTTCTTTTAAAATACTATTTAATTATTATTAGTTTTAAATCAAATTCTAAATGACAAATAAAGCAATATTATACAGCAACTATAAACAGTATCTAATCTATGACATCCCTATTTCTAAAAATAGGTTTATTCCATTTGACGTCATCACATTCCTTTCTAGTTCCTTCTTCACGTAAACAAACAGAATATACAATACAGCGTTTTCTAAAAACACAATTACGATAATGAACTGAGCATTTAAAAAATAACTAAGTAAACAAAAACACTTTTTAGTTGTTAAAAAAAGAAAAACAATTTCTAAACAAGTCAACATGAAATGCATTGAATGAAAAATTAATTCAGTACGATATTATATGTATATGTATATTTTCAAAGATTTTTAATAAAGAACACTGAAAAATATCTTCCACAAACTTACAAAACTTAGGTTTAATTGTTAAAATAATTATTTTATGGATGATTATATTTTTTTTTATCAGATAATTGTTATTGTCAAATTACTTAATAAGATAAAATTATTTTTGTTTATTAAAAATCATTTTAGATTCAATTTTATCTCAACTTTATGATTAATTATTGATGTTTTAATTTATCAAATATTTTACAAGCATTACATTTGTTCAAAAATTATCTCTAGATTATAGTAATGATATAAGATAACTATAAATAGAATGATAGCCACTCTACTGATAATTCTGGGAATTACCGATACTTCATAGTGATTTGCATTTTCAAAAATAATTAATAAATATTACTCTAAATCAATAGTTAATTATTATTAATAAAAGAAGGATTAAATTGAATTTTTTTTCGCGAGACTCAAATTTATAATGGATTGAGTCTCACCATCATTCAACGTAGCCCATTATGGCAAGATAAACAAAGAAGTCATCCAGCACGAACAATGAAAAACGAAATATTACAGGAAAACTCGTTAAAGTTTATCATTAAATCAAGCATTTAAATTATAAAAACCTAATCGAAAATCCATTTTATATACAGTAAAATCCACTGGCTGTAATTATGAATATTATCAGAATTAACGTATAAATTACGTATAAAACTTCGTTTATTGTAATCATAATTCGGTTATTGTTACCATTATTTCCACTGTTTCTATTTCTCTATTACATTGACAGATTTCTATTCAAATCGGACTTAGCTTCAAAAATAAAATCTGAGACGGAAATATAATCCAATCGGAATGAAACGTTTAACGTAAAAGTAATCATTTATTTGTTAAGAATTTTTATAAAATAAAAATTGTTAATGATAGTGTAGATCTGAATTTTCAGAGCTGCATGCATGGATGAAAATGGAAAGTAAAACTGGTATTCAAAGAACTATTAATTTGTACAATTTATCAATTTGATAATTACCTACAGAACAATCAATCACCCAGGTAAGGTCGATTAAAGTCGATTAATTAAAAACAAAATTTACAGAATAAAAATTTGATATAATAATCCTGGTATAATCTTTAAAAAATCGTCAAATGGATTGTGTCAAGACCACTAGGACAAAAATAAATGGTTTTTAATGATGGACTCGGTCATTGTCATGCTTAGTTATTACAGTTCACAATGTAAATATCTTGAATATTGATAATTAACGTTCAAAGTAATTAATGCAGGCTGGATGGCCGAGTGGTTAACCGTTAAGGTGTCGGACTACCGCAACGGAAAATCCAGGCCTCCGAATCCGGAGGAGTCAAAAAACCCTAAAATATTTCGGAGATGATTCGTCCTGGATATTTATGTCCGGTTCTTTCCCTCATCAACCGACCGTGCCCCCATTACGGGCTGGCTGAACCCACGATAGGCTTGATTAATTAAAAGGCCTTTTAGTGCCTGGACAGATACTGAGGCGCCAAAATAAAGTAATTGATAGTTCGGTTAAAATTTCTTTTCTAAGAATATCTCCCGAGACGAATCCAATTAATAAATTTTAAGAAGAAAATTTTTATAATTTTAATAAAAATAATACCGTAAAAACTTTCGTTTGAAATACAGAATACAAATTATTCAAATTTTTAACACAAAAATGTTCAATTTAGAATTTGAATGTGTATTCAATGTTTTTAAAACTTTTATTCCTTTTATGCTTGAAAAATATTGTATCACTGTCACACAAAGATGCTTATTGTTCTACTATGATTTTAATACAAATGTATACATTTTCTAGTATGCATTGTTTATTTTAATAACATACCAATTTAATCCACGATTTTCTAACTAGTTGTAATCGATAATTATGAAACAGCATAATAAAAAAAACTTTAAAATAGTATTTAAAATCTTAAGGCTAACTGTAACCTGTTTGATTATGCACAATCTCCAATAGATGACATAAGAATATACTTTTTCTAAGGGAAAATCCTTTTTCAAACATTTTGGAAGATGGAAGTAGATAGAACCAAATAGTTTTTGCATTAGAATTCTATTTAATTCTTCTATTGACGCATGGTTTAGAATTTTGAAAACTAAATTAGTTAAGAGGTTTCTACGAATTTTTAGTCATAGAAAATCAACGAATTAGATTTTCAAAATTATGAACCTTGCATCAATAGAAGAATTAAAAAGGATTCTAATGTGAAAAACTACTTTGTTCTATGTACTTCCATCTTCCAGAATTTTTGAAAAAGGATTTTCCCCCATAGTAAAAACCATTATATTTTAATGCCATCTACTCCAGATCACATGCATAACCAAAGAGTTTACAATCTGCCTTAAAGTGAAATTTCAATTTTCACATAAAAATTGGGTGTCATCAACTGTTGAACATATCTATAATTTGATACTATGTAATAGAATGTGAGTTAATCTAAAAGTATCTCAGAAATAAACTCAGAGAGTTATAGAAAGCACTGATGATAAAAAAAATGATAACAATGGTTGTAGAGTATTTCCATCCTGACACTATATTAGAAATTCAGGGTAGTTTGTTACAATACAATTATTCAGTTTACAATCTAATTGATAAATTTCATAAGAATTCCAAAAAAATTATTCTTAGTTTTATTTCTGTGCTCTAATTTCTTTATAAATGCAGAAATACTTATTTCTAATAGAATTAAATAATATAAAACAATTTAATATGCATTTTTTTAATATAATACACTATGTAGTAAAATTTATGTCATACTTAAATCAATATAATTATTTATGATCTTACTGTTTTCTATTATTGTAACATCTAGTGGAGTTATTAGTAACATCTGTAGCAGTAATGGACATTTGTTCAATTTTATTAGCAGATGGAAGTGGTGGAGGAGGAGGTAATCTTGAAGGTTTCTCTGAAAAATAAAAATTATCATCATCATCATTATTATTATAAAAAATGCAAATTCACAAAATACCCATTTTTCAAATACCTACTTGAAATTAATGGTTTCTCTATATTACATTTCATTTTTAATGGAAATAAAACAGTAATATTAGATGGCTTAACTGGTTTAGGTGGTGGAGGACCCAACACATCTAGAGGAGGAAGTTTAGTTCTTTTATATTGAGCTTTACACACGTAATTATTATTAATAAAAACTTCAGAATAAAACAACTTCTGAGGGGAACTAGATAGTCTTTTTTCAATTTCTTGATTTATATCCACTTCATAAGTTCTATTCCACACTGTCATTACATTTCTTTGATTATCTGTTCTTTTTAATGAATTTTCATGTTTGATTAGTGAAGGCTTTATAATATTGACTGTGGGTGATTTGTTATCATTTTCACAATCACTGCTATAACTTTCACTGCATAGTCTGTTTTGAAAAATGGAAGATTGTCTGCAATCTCCTGATGGACTACTTTCATAATTTTCTTCCACACCACTATCATTTGATAAAGTATCTAAACCAACTTCTCTACTCTTGACTGATTCTTCATTTGGCTTGTTGGTTGTTTTTTGATTTTTACAAAATGCTGGAAGTTTTACATTGTTTGGCAAATCAAAGACAGAAAGTGACCTTGAAATAGAAGGTATATCTAAATTCCTAATATCTTGTTTTGAAGTACTTAAATTTGATGCAGATGATTTTACAAAGTTTTTGCTTTTCTGATTTTTATTTCTTGGCTGAGTATTTGCTTTCATTGATTCAAAATGTTGAGCAAAGAAATTTCTTAAAGCTTGTACATTTCCCCTGGATATTGTTTCTGTCATTCTTATTCTAAAAAGAAGGAAAACCAAAAAGAATTCAGTTAAAAAATTTATGTTTTCATTAAAGAAAAATAAATAAAATTTTATCAAAAATGATAACTATTAAAGATTAATTTCAATAAGAAAGTTATAAATTTGAAATGATGTACCAATAGGTCATGAGAGAAAGTTAAACCAGGAAGCTATAGTAATGCACTTTTAACATTTTCCGCATTTAGTTTGACCCCAAAAGAACANAAAACTTTTATTATGTTAAACTTCTTTAAATCTAATATTTAGTTTATATTTCTATACAATATAAAATAATATATATATTTACAAAGTATATGAAAAGAATAACAACATAATATAATTTAATATTAAATATAAATATTATTTTTATAACTTGTTCTGGTAAATAAAAATATTAAAACTCATGGGAACATGTAGTACTTTATTCAGTGTATCAATGATTCTTAGAATTCTTAATGATTTAGCATTTTCTTGGAAGCAATATTTATTTCTTGCTCAACATACATTGCAATTTTATGGTAGAACACAGTAATGCAAGTAAGAATTTCAAGTAAATGATTAAGGTCATCGCTCTTATGTTTTAAGTACATGCATTAAATAAGGTATTCAAACTTTAGAACCACTTCAAATTGCATGCTGAATAATAAGTCTGCTTTAGCATAATATTTGGGGTGTAACAAGAAATGTTGATATAAATCATGATCAACACAACCCAATGTCTTTTGTTATTATAGAGGATGCTTCTTTTCTATTCTCAACTCACAATAAGCTTTTAAGGGAGTAACCTACAACAATACTAAGACTTAAAAAAAAAAAATAATGCACTAATTTTCAATTCTCAAACTAAACAATAGCATATTTAACTGCTACTTTAAATATTTTCATTGATCCAAATTGAACTTAGGCAAACACAATGCAGTCTTGTTTATGAATTGAATGAAAATATAAGTTTAGAATAATTTTTATGCCAGATAACAATGTTATCTTATCCTATCTTAACGTTCATTGCCAATAGCACGCTAAAAGTTAAGAGAAAAACGTAAAAATATGAGTTTATTTTACATTAAAAATAAGTAAATAGACGATTAGTATCCTGACTATTAATTTTTGTTTTGTTGTGTTGTTTGCCTCGATGCTGTTAGCAAGGAGGTCGAATTCTACTCTATCTATGTTAACTACAGAAAAAAGTTTATTTACAGTATATATATATGTTGCGCTATAATTAAAGAAACTCGAATATGACGTCACTATTTATAAAAATTCTATTTTAATCGAGTAAAAAATAGGTTAATAATTTAAAACGAATTAGAATTTTAAAAAAATACTAGATAAGGCGAGCGTTATTTACAATATTTTAACAAAAGCATACAATTCTCACCTGAGGACGAGTCGTACTGAAACGCATCTAACGGAACTTTGAACTTGAGGTTGCGTTATCTCCTCATCCATTAACTTGGCAGGTGGTTCTTTTCCTTTCCTTACATAAAAATAGTTTGTAACTGTCCTATATAATTTTTTTAAAAATTTCAATACTTTTCCCTTATCAATTTGGTAAAATCCATACAATAAAAAAAGAAATAAGAATAATAACAACAAAAAACCTATCAAGAGAATCTATTTTAAACCAGTTTTGTTGACCTCATTAAGAAATAGTCATTTCCACACCTACCTGTATAGCGATTCTAGTGGGATGTTCACCTCATCAGACTGGTACGTCAGGAGTTAAAATAACTACAATGAGTTTAATAAAACAGTCTTAAATATGTGGAAATATTACTTAAAAGAATAATAAATTATGAATTTCATAGTAATTAATAAGTAAACATAAAACAATGACATAACATTTATTTCTNCTTCCTTGTTAGCCTTGAAATCTTCCATACTAGATTTTAGATAATTAACCTTGGACAAAGTAGAGCAATAAATTATAGTTATCTTCCTTACATAAAAATAGTTTGTAACTGTCCTATATAATTTTTTTAAAAATTTCAATACTTTTCCCTTATCAATTTGGTAAAATCCATACAATAAAAAAAGAAATAAGAATAATAACAACAAAAAACCTATCAAGAGAATCTATTTTAAACCAGTTTTGTTGACCTCATTAAGAAATAGTCATTTCCACACCTACCTGTATAGCGATTCTAGTGGGATGTTCACCTCATCAGACTGGTACGTCAGGAGTTAAAATAACTACAATGAGTTTAATAAAACAGTCTTAAATATGTGGAAATATTACTTAAAAGAATAATAAATTATGAATTTCATAGTAATTAATAAGTAAACATAAAACAATGACATAACATTTATTTCTCACTTAAGACTCAAATTGTTTTTAATACAAAATTTTTGATGTCTAAATACATAATTTTATATATTTATTTTAGCTAACAAAACATTTTTTTTCATCCTTTTTTAATACAAACTGAATTGGAAAATTTTAAAGTACACTATATACTTCTGAAATAACTACATCATTATTTATAGCAGGAATAATGAATGACTCATTAATTTTAGTCAATTCTTAATAACAGCAACATACAGTATACAGGGAATTTCTAGCATTTTATTATTGGTTTATTATTAATTTTACTAAAGAATGNAAAATTTTATCAAAAATGATAACTATTAAAGATTAATTTCAATAAGAAAGTTATAAATTTGAAATGATGTACCAATAGGTCATGAGAGAAAGTTAAACCAGGAAGCTATAGTAATGCACTTTTAACATTTTCCGCATTTAGTTTGACCCCAAAAGAACATATCCACCTAGCAACATGTCAGTGACCTTAAGAAACTTTAAAATATTGTACAAGATTTTAAACTTTCTTAAAACAAATAAATAAAATTTTAGAATTAACTAGACAGGTTTCAGAAATTAATTAAAATTTAATGCTGATAAACATTTTTAGTGGTAAACAATGACTGTCTAAAAACATATTTATAAATGACATTCATAAGAGAGATAAAACACTTAATCAGTTTTGCATACTTGTTATATCAAATGTAAATAGAAGTAAGGGTAAATTGATAGGTTATCTTTAACAATAGTTATTTAGTTTATGATAAAATAATTAAACTTCATTTACCAGCCTGGAAATTGCATAATATGAATCAACAAAAACTTTAACCAGTCTCATTTTTTATAATTAAATAATTTTTTTACATATGTATGAAAAAGACAATTATATAAACTAATTTATTCTATGTTTGAAGACAATTAAAAGTAACAAAAATGTTGCAATATTCTTTATCAGTGAAGTATGAAGTTCATGTGATCTATATTATAGATAAAAGAAAATTATGAAATTTATTCCTTGAGCAATAATATATAATAATATATTACAAATTATTACACTGTATTTAGTGCAAAGGATTATTAAGTGCTTTTTATTACAATTAAATTAAGAAAACTGGTTACAAAAATGATAAATTGGAAGATTATGGTAACATAACTGCCATATTTCTTTTATATTAATTAATATGAATAATATAGAAATAATTTTACATAATAATAATGTTTTATTTCATTCTGAATATAATTCATTTTTATAACTTATCTATAATTAAAATTACAAACAAAAAAAATACAAATGTTATGAGTCAGAGCCATTAGTTATTTATTGTAGAAGCTTTTCATAATTAAAATAAATGTTCTCTTCCTAAGAATCTATTAAGAAAGGTTAAGTAAATAGTTTCTGACACAGGAAATAATATGCATTAATCAGTTTTATACAGTATAGATTTTTATTAATAATTTAAATATCATTTAAATTTTCAGTTTATAATTAGTGACTTAAAGAAATAATAGCACTGATAAAAATTTTAGATTTTTGCATTAAATTCTTTTTTAAAAATAATATAAGTTAAGGTGTTTTTACATATCCTCCAACAAGTTTGAATTTCCAGTTTTATTTTAATTTTAATTATATTCATAGAGGCTTTTATTTTTAAACAGGTGCTTCCTTGTTAGCCTTGAAATCTTCCATACTAGATTTTAGATAATTAACCTTGGACAAAGTAGAGCAATAAATTATAGTTATCTTCCTTACATAAAAATAGTTTGTAACTGTCCTATATAATTTTTTTAAAAATTTCAATACTTTTCCCTTATCAATTTGGTAAAATCCATACAATAAAAAAAGAAATAAGAATAATAACAACAAAAAACCTATCAAGAGAATCTATTTTAAACCAGTTTTGTTGACCTCATTAAGAAATAGTCATTTCCACACCTACCTGTATAGCGATTCTAGTGGGATGTTCACCTCATCAGACTGGTACGTCAGGAGTTAAAATAACTACAATGAGTTTAATAAAACAGTCTTAAATATGTGGAAATATTACTTAAAAGAATAATAAATTATGAATTTCATAGTAATTAATAAGTAAACATAAAACAATGACATAACATTTATTTCTCACTTAAGACTCAAATTGTTTTTAATACAAAATTTTTGATGTCTAAATACATAATTTTATATATTTATTTTAGCTAACAAAACATTTTTTTTCATCCTTTTTTAATACAAACTGAATTGGAAAATTTTAAAGTACACTATATACTTCTGAAATAACTACATCATTATTTATAGCAGGAATAATGAATGACTCATTAATTTTAGTCAATTCTTAATAACAGCAACATACAGTATACAGGGAATTTCTAGCATTTTATTATTGGTTTATTATTAATTTTACTAAAGAATGTACTTTTTTCTGTTTTATAATTAAATTTTTATTCTTTAAAAAAATACAGTGGCGTGTATAAAATTCTATAAAATATAAAAAAAACTTTTATTATGTTAAACTTCTTTAAATCTAATATTTAGTTTATATTTCTATACAATATAAAATAATATATATATTTACAAAGTATATGAAAAGAATAACAACATAATATAATTTAATATTAAATATAAATATTATTTTTATAACTTGTTCTGGTAAATAAAAATATTAAAACTCATGGGAACATGTAGTACTTTATTCAGTGTATCAATGATTCTTAGAATTCTTAATGATTTAGCATTTTCTTGGAAGCAATATTTATTTCTTGCTCAACATACATTGCAATTTTATGGTAGAACACAGTAATGCAAGTAAGAATTTCAAGTAAATGATTAAGGTCATCGCTCTTATGTTTTAAGTACATGCATTAAATAAGGTATTCAAACTTTAGAACCACTTCAAATTGCATGCTGAATAATAAGTCTGCTTTAGCATAATATTTGGGGTGTAACAAGAAATGTTGATATAAATCATGATCAACACAACCCAATGTCTTTTGTTATTATAGAGGATGCTTCTTTTCTATTCTCAACTCACAATAAGCTTTTAAGGGAGTAACCTACAACAATACTAAGACTTAAAAAAAAAAAATAATGCACTAATTTTCAATTCTCAAACTAAACAATAGCATATTTAACTGCTACTTTAAATATTTTCATTGATCCAAATTGAACTTAGGCAAACACAATGCAGTCTTGTTTATGAATTGAATGAAAATATAAGTTTAGAATAATTTTTATGCCAGATAACAATGTTATCTTATCCTATCTTAACGTTCATTGCCAATAGCACGCTAAAAGTTAAGAGAAAAACGTAAAAATATGAGTTTATTTTACATTAAAAATAAGTAAATAGACGATTAGTATCCTGACTATTAATTTTTGTTTTGTTGTGTTGTTTGCCTCGATGCTGTTAGCAAGGAGGTCGAATTCTACTCTATCTATGTTAACTACAGAAAAAAGTTTATTTACAGTATATATATATGTTGCGCTATAATTAAAGAAACTCGAATATGACGTCACTATTTATAAAAATTCTATTTTAATCGAGTAAAAAATAGGTTAATAATTTAAAACGAATTAGAATTTTAAAAAAATACTAGATAAGGCGAGCGTTATTTACAATATTTTAACAAAAGCATACAATTCTCACCTGAGGACGAGTCGTACTGAAACGCATCTAACGGAACTTTGAACTTGAGGTTGCGTTATCTCCTCATCCATTAACTTGGCAGGTGGTTCTTTTCCTTTCCAGTGGCCTCTTCCTTAATTCAGGCAATTTTTCTTTTGCTCCTGTAAACACGTTATTAGCCTAATAAAGACGCTTTCTCTTCCGAGTTCCGTACATTACTCGCGCTACAACTTTGACAATTAAACGGATGACGTCAAATTTCGCACTTAAAATGGAAGACCATAAAAATCAACTAATTTTAACTCGCTCTTATATTTTCAATTTATAGCTATTTTCCCCTCGTAGACTACACAAATTCAAACATTAGTTACGATCCGGACGTTTAAACACCACTTATCGTATTACATTAAAAACAATGGCATAAACATATTTTGAAAGAAAAATTAAAACCCAAGCGCAACTAATAATCCGTTTAAACATAATTTTATAATAACTACAAGGTTTTTACTGCTATTTACTCGAGCAAAACGGAAATTAAGTTAAATCTACAGACTGAAATTACGTTATCATTATATAAAACTTATATAGACGAGTTTAGAATTAGTTTAAAAGTAATACCTCCATACCGTTATCGATACAGACTTCTAGCACCTGAATTTTTCATCTAATTTGCATATTTATAAACTTACCTGATACGGTACAAGGACAGTCAGTTCTATTTCCTTAATTCCACATTAGAGGTCGAAGAAAAATGTTCTACATTCCGAATATTTCTAAGCATCCCCTGTGTGTTTATTGCACAGGCGCCAACTGATTATTGTTAACGTTTTACGAAGCATGATACAAGTTGCGCAGTAGTTAACAATATCCATTCTACCGTCCCTCCGAGGGGGAATATTGAAATTTAATCACAACACTTCTACACTTTTTCCGATAATTCGAAACCGTGCTTCTCGTTCTGGTTTTGAAAACCCAAGAAACAAGTTTCTCGCCATACAAATAAACCGGTTTATTTACAGCTGTAAAAGAGATAATACCGTTTGAAAGTCGCAATATGATTGATGTTTTACTATATATAATTAAACTTCCACTTCCTTTCGTAGTTACGATATGATCGGTCAACGACTTGATTTGCTGGGGAAGACCATTTTTAAAATTTATATGAACCTACAGGCATATCGCTTAATTAAGTTAAAACTCGTTATAACTTATTTATTTTTTTGCCGAAGTTTTCGTTAACTGGTTATCGGAAAATTAAATCCGATAATATAAAATTAACATTCTTCTTAGTTTCCCGATTATTTGAAAAATAACACCAAAGCTATTAAAACAAAAATGTAAAATCATGCTTTCTAGAAGAAATAATTTATATTTCTAATTCCTTACCATGTTAAAGTTTAATAGGTGAAATTTATATTTATATATTTAACAATAATTTAATATTTTGTAATATTTTAAAAATTAGTTTGAAATCAAGACAATTTAGCATAAAACAATAGACTATCTCATAAACTGTTTAGTTTCTTTTTGATTCAATGTCTAGTTGAATTTGTCAAGTGTACTTTGATTTTCTAATAATTAAGATTTCAAATCAATCTATAATGTAGAAATTTTAATTACAGTTATCTTTATCGGATAAATTTAATTTATTAAGAAAACATTCATTATGTCACTAATGGATTGATCTTACTGCAGGAAATTCTTTGTGGTTACAAAGGACGACACACAACAGTGACTAAAATCTACACTCTAAACAATAAATTCCTACTGAATACATTCATGTTTGAAGCAGGATTTCCTGTATGTCACGATCTGACATAAAAGAAATGACTTAATGATTTCTGCAATGTTAAATTGGCAAATTGAGGGAAATAAATCTAATTATATTAGCAATACCAAATAATGATATAAAGTTGATAAAACATTTGATTTCTTTCCAAATAACAATTGTTAAAACAAGCAAATTAATCATCAAATAATTAATTCTGCAATAATCAATGAGAACCTTCAAGAATGTTTGATATTTAAGTTTTTAATTATTATATGATTAAATTTTATAACAGTGAATATCATTATCTATCCATAAAATTCCCAATGAAGAAAGATTTTATAGTAGTATTATTCAATCAATGAACTATTTGGACAATATTTAATGATTAATAATAGCTGATATTTAAAAATGCTAACATAAATTTCTATACTGACTAATGAACTCACACATTTTCTGTAAGCTATAAAAATATCTCAAATAACAATATCTACAACATATTTTAATAAAAAAAAATCTTTGATTTGTAAATTTTATTTTAGAATTTGAATGTTTATGAGCAATTTGATATTTAAAATGGTATAAAAATGTATTACTACAAGTAGTCTAACACTTATGTAATGTGAGATGTACGTACTATTGTCACATAAACTTCAAACTTGTCATTTTTTGTAAATTGTTTATAAACTACAGATTATATACAAATTTTAAGACTGACATTTCATGATTAATTTTCACAATATCATACATTGTTCAAAACCATACTATATATCAAGTTTTGAATGTCTCTTACGAGACAAGGAGAAAAAAGTATACACATTGTGCCACTTTTATTAAGTTTTAATAGTGCAGATACAGATTCAACTGACAAATTTCTGTCAACATAAAATCCACTTTATTTTTGAGAATGATCCAAATTGCATATCTATTAAAAAAAGGAAAAGCTATTTTTGAATTTTGATATTTAAAAATGCTTTCAAATGGCTTTAAAGATAAAACAAAAAACTGAATTTTTGCTTATAATTATAAATTTTGTATCTAAAAGCTGCCAAGCAACTTCTACAGAACTGCAGTCTTAAGGCAAATATTGGCATTACAGGGTGGAAGAAAACAATCCTATACAGAATTCTCACTGGAAAAATTAAACTTCCAGAACAGAATTCATACAACTTATCTTTGAGACTGTTGAAACTCATAACCTATAAAACTACAGTGATTATTCAAACACAAAACAAATAAATTAGAAAATACTGTGGCTATGAATTTCACATCCCAAAGACATCAACATGATCTCTCAGTGTCTATAAGACACACAAACACAAAAATTTTAACAGCAGACCTGCCAATAATTGCAACAAACTTTAAAATGCAATAGTCTAAATTATTCTACTTATTCCCTACTTGATGATTACCAGTGGGAGATGATTGAAAAAATACTCAATGGTCTCTTATAACGAGACTGTTTACAACAAGGATAAATCCTTGAGATTGATAGTATGGTGGTCACAATAAAATACATCACTATTACAATTTGTGCCATGCAGAGAAATGTCTACTTTTCGAGTCTTTACTGAACTAATTCTAATGCAACTTTATGTGCTAGACAAATAAGACAACACTCTGACACGAACCACCAATAATGTGAGCTTATGTAAAAACATTCTACTATGGCTTAGTCTAAGTCGATCCTGTGAGAATGTCTTACACCATTTCCATATTTTAGTCTGGATGAGCACCATTGTAGATTTGCGACATGAACAATTTATTGACGATAAATAGAAGGGGACATTCCTATATGACCTTTATGTTATCAGTAAAAGTTTATCTCGTTGTTGCAGATAATTCAGAATGGTAGCAGAAATTCATATTGAGCACCTTAGAACTTTTATCTATAAATAATTATTTAAAATTAAATTGAAAGTGCTATGTTTAATTTGCTATTTAAATACTGTCCATCACATGAATAATTCACTGTCCCCAAATACCATACTACAGCACCCAACAGATGAGATTTTACAACTCAACTGAAATTAACAGGGAATGGCAGGACTGCATCATTTGTTCCAAATCAATTTGTTATTCATTGTCCAAAATATACAATTTTTTGGTGTGTTTAAAATAAACACACCTGATCCATACATCACATTCATTCATTTCACATTTATACAACACACACTCATGTATGTTTTTTCAAAGTAATTGTTGTTCATGAAAAAAGTTCATTTCCACTTTAGATGTCCATTCTTGCTTTCTTTAATTATGGTTTAAAAGTTGGATTCATTTGTCCAGGCATCACAATATTGCCAGGTGTAACATAATCACCAATCATTAAACTATTATTGACAGGAAAATGAGAGGTATTGCCTAATACTACTTGCTGCTGCTGTTGCTGTTGTTGCTGCTGCTGTAAATAATAATTATGTAATTCATTACTTTTTGTAAAAAAGTATGATGTAGACAAAAAAAAAATTATACTTACTTGTGTAAAAAGAGATGGAGAAATTCCTCCACCTATGGAACTAGTAGGAATACTTGCTTGAATACGAGAAGTTCCTGCTTTTATATTTGCACTCATTGTGCCTGGACTAGATAATGATCCTTAAATATAAATAGTAAGTAAGTAACATTTATGATGTCAACAATATCAAAAGATATTTTACATACCAAGAGAAATAATACTAGAATGATGTGATCCAAGATTCTGTTGTGAAGGTTGTTGGACAGGATGTACTTCCATGACGTTATCTCCATTCATTAATGTCATACCATTTACTACAAGTTCAGCATTAGTAGTAACTAAAAAGAAATTTAAAAAATCATAATTTGAAAAATTAGAGAGGGAAGGAAAAACAAAACAGAAATACACACCCCCATTTTGAGCATCAAGAGTTTGCCAGTAACTCTCACTTGGAGATGTTTCATTGCATCCAGGTGGTGGTTGTATTGCCTGACCTGTATATCTAAAGAATGGATTTTTCAAGTCCAATGTATTGAAAGCACGAGTTCCTGTTCCTTCAACACACAATTCTATTTCTACATCATAACTTTGTCTATTAAAAAAAAAAGGAAAGAAAGAAAAAGAAATTTATTTTATACTTTTTACCAAAAGCCAAAAGTTTTGCAATTCATAATAAAACAAAAAGACATGAGAAAAAATTTAAACATCTAACCTTTTATTTGAATTCAGAACTACTCTTCCTGTTAATGTTTGGCCTCTTTGAACAAATACAGGTGTATTTAATAAGCATCGAACCTGGTACCAATGAGTAAGAGGTTGAGTTGGAGAAGTTGAAAGCCATACTGTTTGTCTGAAATATCATATCTCCAGGTATTAAAATAATAAACTTATAACTTCAAATAATTGCTAAAAGCTAATAGACAATTGATGTTTTCAATTACACTTTCTATATTAAAGAATAAAATGTATTACTCACATGGAACCAAAAAATGCCACATCAAACCAAAATGCTAAACCATGCAATTCTCCTGATTGAAGCAAAACATAACTTAGAGGTATTTCTATTTGATGAAGATCAGATTCATGTGATGACTGAAAATCTACAGTGTAACGGAGAGACTTTGCCATGCAAATGCGTATGTCAAAAGTATCCTAAAAATATAGAATATTTTGTAATGTTGCTAATTTCAATCAAATATTTTTTTCATTAAAATTCCTGGAATTTTACTTCAATTTGTAAATTTCTAAGATTAAAAACCTAAAATTGTAATCTTAGAAACAAAAGTAAAATTCTAGGATTTTTACAAAATACTGATTGATTTATTAATAAATATTACAAATAATCAATACTTTCATCATCTAATAAGCTAGAAAAATATGCTCTTGCCTGTCTGTCCACAAAATTTTTGATTGAAAAGTAAAAAATTCAATAGATAATTATTTATATATTACATTATTTGGAGAAATTTCATAGCAATTTAAATTCTTAAAAATTACAGAAATACTGCTTATTTATGCATGTATGTACAGTACATGGATGTACCTGTGTCAAATATTAAGTGACAGAATCTTACAAAATGAAACACACTATATAGTATAAGGTAAAAGTGAATAAACAGCATTATGAATTATGAAATGTAATTTTGCTGCTAATAACAAATTTCAAGAACTTGATATTTAAAGTCTGTTCTTAAAATACATGTTAATAATTAATTATTTTATTATTTACATTACTCTACAGAAATTATCCTCAATCCTAAAGAAAGAAAAAACTTTTAAGGGACAGACACATCATAAAATCCCAAATTATTATATACATATACAAACATGTGAATTTAGAATTTATATATTATATTTTAAATTAATTGCTATTATATTTACATGAAAGGCTGCTACAAATCTTCAAAATCTTTAATCTTCAGCTACCTGCATGGAATCTGACAGCACCATGATCTCTAATTTAATCTATAATTTTAAATTATGCAAGTATAGGCAGTTCTCAACTTTAATACTTTCTTAAAATCATAACTGAACATTTGGAAGCATCTATCAGTCTGTATCATCTTAATAAAATACATTCAATTTTCTTCCGTTTTTAATCTGGTGAGATTTTATCAAATGCCATATAGGTGAATCAGTTATAATATTGGTATATATTTTTCCAATAACATAATCAACATTTTTTAAATCAAAGAACATGTTACATTTTCTCATTTTGCTGAATAATTTATATTATTAGAAATAAAATTACATAAATTGACTAAAACATCACATTGATGATAATGTGTGTGTAAATGTATATGAAAAGTTTTAAAGGTATTTTAATATTCTGATGTAAAATATCATATGGCTAGATACATGTATGTATGTGATGGCACCTATCCATATGATATTTTACATCAGAATATTATAATACAACTACAGATGCATGTATGTAATAATTTATCTTGAAAACATTTGTGACATTTGCAAAAATGAAAGATTGAAATGTTTTTTTTTATCATATTAGTAAATATAAGATTGGTTTACACTGTTTAAAGATAACTTTGAATTAATAATTTTAAATTACTTAGAAAATAGTTTTACAAATAAATAATAATTGCTTTAAATTAAAAGCATATATTATTTTATTAAAATAAACCAAATATGCTAGACTTTTTGTTTTAATAAAGTAAATAACAAATAATTTCTATGGTGATTACATTTCATTTTTCTTATTTTTTAACAAGAACATTAAGTGAGAATTTTAAAATAAAAATCAAGAAAAAAATTTAAGATGCATTTTTAAATGTAAATAGCAGAACAAAAAATAATTAAAATAATTTATGTAAAAATTTAACTTTGATGTCTCTTCAAATAATATTAATTGAATCAAATGGCAAAATGACAAATGTCTACTTGGTTATAAATTATTTCAAATAGACTATAGCAGTGGTTCTGAAACTGTGGTCTGCAGACTCCTGAGATCCACAAGATACTTGTCAGAAGTCTGCAGGAACATTTATTATTTAGCAAATATTTTAAAATATTATTTAAAGCAATATTAAGCTTTGAATGAAATTTCATAATCTGTATATTATTTATTAAAATGTTGCAAAAAAGAATCAACTTTTTAATTTTAATAAAAAAGTTGGTTCTTTTTATTAAATTTAATAACTTTTAGTTCTGTTATTTTAACAAAATTTTTCGAATTATTGCAATCAAACACTGTCAAAAAATAATATTAGACGCCTCAAATGATTTTTATTATTGTAGTTTATTAATTAATGAGTAACTGCTAACAGCTAAAAACAGGAGCCTGCAAAAATATATCTTCTATACACAGATGTGCAACTTTCAAACTTTTAGAACCACTGGACTATAGTATATGATTTTTTCCATAATTCATTTATATTGTCAGAATATTCTAAAATCACCAGAACTTAAACATACATTATATTATATAACCCTTGGGTCATATGGTGCTAATCCTCAGTTTGTGGTATTCTGAGATATTCAATTACTGGTACAAACAATGTACTTTAGCATCAGTACATCCTTATCAGCTCGAGAAAAAGTACACTTGGACACTGGTAATTGCAAAAAGTAAAATGAATGATATCATGTCCCTGTCCCTGATCAGATGAGTTCCTGAAGCATACCAAGCTTTCTATTACCAGAACAAGACAGGTGACATTGTTGTTGATATGGAAATATTGATGAATAACACCGAGAAAAATAAAATAAGTAGAAATATTAACTGGAAATAAGTATTTTCTAGATGATATTTTTTCTGGTTTTTAATAACCAATGTGTGAAATTCCAAAAATTTTTGAAGACACACAGTATCACATTATATCACTTCTATCATTTTATCTTAATCCATAAAATCTTTCTTGTGGGATTTTTTTAAAATCAGATTATCATAATCTTTTCTGTTTTAAGTATGAGATGACAGTCACATCTATAGGCAAAGTTCAGAAAGCAAAAATATTAACACACATCTATTCATATGATTTTAGGATTTTTTTAAACATTCAAACTCAGTTACCCCAGAAATGTAAATCTGAGGGTTAACACTTTATGTCCCAGAAGACTTTGTATAATAATTAACTTAAACAAATATATAACTTCCCAATGTATACCATTACAATTTTCAATCACTTTAGATGCTGTCTTAAATGATTCAAGGAAGAAATTCCCAGTACAAATGGGTAAAAAATAAGACTATAGAAAATTTAAATAAAAATATTTACAACAACTGGTTGTCTGAAATATTCTTGAACAGCTGCATCTCTTAAACTTGATAAATCTACTCCATGAAAAGACTGTTGATACCTATAATAATTCATAATTTTAATTGTATTCAGTTCTGATCTTGCAATTTAATATTTACACAAAACAAAAAACCATTACATTCATCATACTACAAAACTTACCAAAAATTAGCCTTATTTAACTGTTCCATATATAAAGATGAATCACTAAAAGGTGCAATGTGCAGATCTCCTCTAGAAGGAAACATTTTACCTAAAAATATCCCACTTAAATTAGAATGTACAGTAAATAACTATTTTTTGAATAAAAATTTTTCATCAATAAGTGATAAATTTTATTTTTAATTTATATAAAGATGACATTACCATCAGGTGACAACCATTTTTTAGCATGAAGATATGTTTCAAGCATACGTTCATTAAACAACATATATCCCATTGGTTCTGAAACAATCACATTAACTAATTCTGGTAGAGTAATTTCTTCAATTTTCCCAGGTATCACTATAATTCTTCCTGCCAATTTATTGTGATAAACTAAAGTCTAAAACAATTGCAAAAAATATAGTATAAAACATTTGAATCATAAATAATCATTATTTATCATTTAAATATATAAAATCATAGATACTAACTTCAGCATGTTTTGCCATAGAACTTGCTTCAACAGCATAGACTTTTCTTGCTCCAGCTTGTATAGCAAAAAATGAAAGTATTCCAGAACCTGCACCCACATCTAAAACTATCTGAAATTGATAAAAATTTGTTATATTTAATAATAAGATTTATATACATACAATATTATATATAACTTAGTTCTCATTTTGCTTAAAATTTCTTTCTGATATTATTTCAAAATTGTTAACAAAAGTTTATATTGTTTCAGATAAAATAAAGTAATAGCATTTTCATTATTTTTAAAATATAGTTAAAAAATTTCTTATTAAAGTAATATATGCATTAAAGCAGATTAACTAAAGTGCATCTGAGATAAAACCAATGATTAGAATTTCAGTTGTTAAAACACTTTCTTCTAATTAGATTTTCCCTTTACATACTTGAAATTATTTCTAAACGAAATTTTAAAATATGACAAATTCCCTCATCAAAGCCAATGCCACTATCAAACTTTCATTAACCTCAAATTTATTTCATAAACTACTGTGTATATATATATATATATATATATCTATTTATATATTTATATCAGACTTGATATCTATACACATTAACCACTATTATACTATAACCTCCTAAATACAGTACTTCTTTAAATATGATAATTAAATAATCAGAATTAATTAAGAATCAGAAATTACCAACTGAAGTGAGTTTGGAAACCAGTTGATCAAACTATAGTTCAATAGTTACTTTACTGTTTATCATCTTTCAAATTAAAGTTCAAAATATTATTTTATTCATTATTATGAAATTTGGAATTGATAAACAACATTCTTTCATTTTTTAATGAAGTACTTTTATTATATTTCAAAATAAATAACATAAAAATAACTTCTATAAATTTTTAAAAATAACTCAAAATATTTTATAAAATAAAATAAAATGTACAAAATTAAAAATTAATATTTTGAGTATTTGAAATTCTCTTACTTTATCTTTAAAATCTTCCATATTTGCTAAAATTGCTCTCTGATAAGTAGATGTCCTAATGTAATCTTGCATCATATTTTGTTGTTGAGAAAGATAACCATAGAACTGAAAAAAATTTGTTTTTAGTAACTTATTAATAATACAAATTGAAAATTTTTTCACATTTAGACAAATCTATAAATTGATTAATACATTTGACTATATACAATACTATATTTAGCTTTTGTTGACATTAAAAAAATTACCACATTCAATTTTTAATATAATAATTATCTTATCAAATTTAAGACAACACAACAATACAATTTTAAATATGAAAATCTGTTGTAAATCTAAACATTTGCCGATTCTTCACAGAAACATTCAAATAATTCTACATGGACTTTATATGGCTTTTGCCTGAGTAATTATATTATATACTGTAAGTTAATTAAATTCTTCATATTCTGTAAATAAATTTAATTTCTTTTTAAATTTCATTCAAGTTTTAATCAATATCTATCTATAATAGAGGTTCATTAATCCAGTACCTACAAGATCAGAATGGTAACAGTTTATCTAAAATACTAAATTACATTTTTGTAAAATTTGATAAGTTATATGCAATCTGAACATTGCAGACATTGCTGTATCAGTGTATGCTTGTTGTATGTTTCCAATTTGTTTATGGATGCATTTTAATCAACATGATCATCATACAAGGCATGACTATACTGTATTAATACTGATTGAAAAATCTGAAAAAACATTAATGAACACAACACAATGAGCATAAAATCAACATTCACAATAATTTGAGTGTAAATAATATTTATTTTCTAGACTTGTTCATTAATAACTGACGAATAAAATTTAATTAAAATTATGTATTACTTAAGAGTAAATAAATTTATGATATAATGTTTATGCATAATATGTATAACAATAAATACAGTAAAATCAAACCTTTTAAAATGAGTTTTTCAAATTCCTTGAAAAAGGTTGGTTTTACTTAAATAATTAGTTGAGTACTAAATTGTTGTTTCCTTGTTCATAAAATAACAAAGTAACTTTCTTAATAGATAAAAACATGCAGGCATACCTCACAAATATAGTAGGTTAAGTTTCTAGACCATCATTATAAAGCAAACATAGTAAAATCTGTCTAAAATGGAACCCAAACAAAATGGAAACCTATCTAAACAGGAAAAATTCTGCAAGAATGGAGCTATTTTCTATGATAAAAAAAAATTGTTCAAAATGGAAACCTGCCAAACTGGGAAAAACGTTTGGTACTATGCAATTTCAGTTTACACAGATTTTATTGCACTACCTTAAAGCAAAACAGCCTTTTTTATTTTCTAGTGCATGTAAAAAATATATTTGTACTATACTAACATTTATTAAGCGTACAAGAGCTAGGCCTAAAAAAGATGTAAAACTAAAAATAATAAATTTAAAAAAAATCTGAAAACCTAAGAGCAAGCAAGTGCAAAAATAATAATAAACATGAACATAATTGAAAAAGCACAATTTTAGCAAAGCACTAGTACACCTGTACTCAAGTAATAATATAAAGTATGTACTATACATATTGGAAAATTAGATGGAAAGTTTTTACTTATTTTTAATGTCATTACTTAACACAGATGTGCGATTTAATTATAACAGTTGTGAAATTTAACACATTGCTAATGTGAGATTGTATTCTTTGTTTAGAACAGTGTTTCTCAACCTCTAAAGAATCGTCGCCCCATTCAATGTAGTATCGCCCTCTTCAATAAAACCATTACCTATTATCGCCCCTTCACTTCAAAATTCTGATGCAGAGGACCAAGACTAATGCCAAATTCGTACTGCATTGAATAGACTAGTGACTAGTATAATGTTATTTGTTTAATTATTGTACGATATAACGAATAAAATATCTAATTATTCTTAATATAACGTTTTACTATATCACTCAGAAAATTATTTTTCGCACCCCAAAATATAAATTGTTACTAATCGTCCCCCTCAACATGGAAAAACGCCCAAATGGGGGTGATATCGTCCCCGTTGAGAAACACTGGTTTAGAAGCTTATTTTGAACTTTTTACTTCACATTTTGAATAAAATCAAGTCAAAATGTGTGTAGATGAAATGTATACATGGCAAATTATGCTTTACATGCTTCAGAAAAAATATAATACAGTAATATCCCGAACTTACACGATAGGTGGGTCCGAGTGATAACTGCTTAAGCCGAATTTGCATAAGTCAGGGTATAATTTCTCAATTTGTGTAAAATCCAAGTTGGATGTACGTAAGCTAATAAATGTTCTCGTTAATCTTATCTCGACTTTTGATTCGTTCATTGTTACAAGAAATCACCACATAGAGTCTCTTAAGTCTCTGTAGATATAACAAATACAGAAATAAATAACACAAAATAAATTGTAGCTATGTGTCAATTCCGCGTGACACGTCCGAACATGTAAGCTGAACAATAGTGCGGGGGGGGGGAATGAGTAATCAAGAGTTGCATGGCGCTCAAACAAAAGACAAATCGACAAGATTTGAAAATCGCATAAGTCAGGGTAGCATAAGTCGAGGTATTACTGTACTGTAAAAACATTTTTAAAAATATTTGTATAATATTTATGGAGAATAATTAGTATAAGTTTCTCTTATCTTTCAATGATTTATGAACTATTGGAAGAAGAATTATGAAAATTGAACATTTTATATACCCTATTCAATTTTTATAAACTTTTAAAATCATCAACCAATAAATCTATATATTAATTGAAAAAGTTCAAGTCTGTAAGACTTTATTCAAGTAAATGGCTAGAGCTAAAAATATGATTCAAGTTTCAAATTAAAGCTTTTACCCTGTAGATAATATTGCTAGAGAGAGATTTGAAAAAAAAGTGCAATGGTTCAGCTGTGGCAAAGTAGCAAAGGTACATTATTATGTCTTTGGGACAAATATGTTGGGCACTTGCATGCCATCTAGTGATTTAGTTTTAACCATTAGAACAATCTGTTGCTCACCCCTGAATTCCTGCTTTTTTGCTAATTATGCATTAATTAAAAGACTTTTTTGATAAATTTTTTAACACTAATAAATTTAAATACTTACACTATCTATTTAAATAATAAAATAAATTTAAGAATTGCTTTTATTTTTTAACTAAACTATTTTAATTTATTAGCATATGTAACAAAAAAAAGTACATATTAGTAAAATAAACATACTTTTCAACACTGAAAAGACAGTATTTACTGCAAAGCCATCTACCAACTTTTAGTGCCAATCTCTGCTTTTATTTTACCATTAATCCATGATGAGACCAAAATGTGATTCTAACCATCCAATTTGTTACTTAGTGCCGATTGATGGCTTTCTTGACAAACCTACCAACAAAAAGAAGAGTAAACTTGAACATCTGACTGTTGGCAGGTTAAGAGTGTTATCTGATGCCACTACATCACCATTTATCCAAAGCCCCACCATTTGAAGTTGGTTAGCCTTAAGAATGCTAAAATTTGATGGATGCAAAATTTAAAGAAGCCATCAAGACAGGACTGATGAGAGGAGCCCCATGGCCACACAAGATAAACACAAAACACCTACAGTTGGACCCAGAAAACACTTGCTGTACTGATAACTTTTTGTGTAGATGCCAAATTTTAAATGAGCTCATTGATTGTACTTTAACTGAATAAAACTGTCAATTTTAACATGTTCCTACTAGTTTCTATAAAGATTATAATTATTATTTCCATAGTTTAACAGAAAAGTCAAATTTTGTTTTAAGCAGAGAAATTAAAATAAAGTTCCAGACTGTCCTATTGGTTTTATGGAATATTCTCTTTTTTAATCTTAATCTATCAATTTATTTTTTCTACATATCAATTTTTTATTCTGTCAGTAATCTTTGTTTTACAGAATGTAATCATCATGAATATTATGTCTTCCATCAATGTCTTAAAAGGTTCTGTTCTTATTCATCAGAGTTGTATATGTTTTTCAGTAGTCAAAAATTGCCACCTATCTTATCTCTTTATTGAACTGTTCATACATTCTGATCTTCAGTGTAAATAAAATATCCAACCTTTAAACCATCTCATGTTAGAATCATTCATTTTAGGTCACAAATCTACAACTATCATTTCACAAGTGTATGAATCAAAGCATCACTATAACAAAAGCAGAAAAACTAGAGATTAATAATTTGAAATATCTTCCAGATATATTTCTAAATTCATTGAAAATCACAAAGGAAATGCAAAAAAGATAACATCAAATCTGGAAAATTACCACTATAAATTGTAGAAATTACAAGATACCCAAAATCACCCCCAGCAGAATAATTCAAAATATACTATTAAACACCTCTGCCAAATAAAATGTATCTCAGCAGCAAAAAGGTGCTTAATAATATACAGTAGAGCGTCATTTATTCGAATCAATTGGGGACTGGGGTTGTTCAGATAATTTATTTTTCGGATAACCGATTATGTACGAAAAATATATTAACCTATCCCATGTTGAAATTTTTCTCTGTTGTGTGTCGCTTCGAGTTGAATTTTTGTCGATGTTAAGCCTAATGTAAACTTTTTATAATAATAATCGTGGCTATTGTATCGTTAAAAATTATTTCTTTATTTTGTACAAACAAAATAAATATATTAAAAAAAAAAAAATACTTTAGAAGTTGATCTAGTATCAAAAATGTTTGATTCAGCACCACACACAGTCCTCAGAAAAACACCACACAAAAGTGCCAATGCTGCCAGCTAAAACACACACACCAACAAAAAAATATTGGAGTAGCCCAAGATATAGCCAAAGATTGCAGCGCCACAGCACTAGCGAAAATTTAAATATGCTGACTGGAATTCTTTCGGATAACCGATGCTCTACTGTATTTTGAAATTACAAGATGCAAAATTTTAGAAGTTTTGGATTTATAGAAAATCATTAAATGACAAAGTTACAAATAACAAAAATTATAATTTTCTTCCTCACTAAAGATAACTTTCAAAGAAATGAACTTAAAACAGCAAAATTCAATAAGATCACCAAGATAAACACAGTACAGTAAAATCGAGACTATGTATCTTATTTTTTTGTTTTTAATGTTTGTTATTGTAAAATAGAACAAAAAAATTCTAAAA